GCCGGGGAGGGGGGGGTGGGCGGGCAGGATTTTGCAGACTGGAGGCCACGGTCCTCCTGGGCCAGACCAGGAGCCAGGATGCACGGCCGGGTGTGAGTGGCCGTGGAGCAGGCCCGTGTTCCCTGTTCCCTGGGCTGGGGCTCTGCGGTGCGCTCATGGCCGCGATGTTTGGGGGGCTTTGCAGGAGTCTCAAGCTTCTCTGAGGCAGGCTGACAGGTGTGAGTTCTCAGTCATGCGTAACCCTGTCGTTTATGGGTTTTGTGGTCGCGTCCAGCCTCTGACGGGAAGTTGGCCGCCATCCCTTTACAGAAGAAGAGTGACATCACCTACTTCAGGACCATGCCCGACCTGCACTCGCAGCCCGTGCTCTTCATACCCGACGTCCACTTTGCAAACCTGCAGAGGACCGGACAGGTACGGCCTCCCCGAGACTCCCCGGCTGGGCTCCTGGGGGCAGAGCCTGGAGACCGTAAAGCCCACTGTCCCTTCATTAGAGAAAAGGGTGTCTCCGGAGAGGAGTGACACCGACAGTGAAAGGAAATCAGAGGGCCGATTTCCTGTAAGTGCAGGGGTTCCTTGGCTGTGTGCTTCGGGACGTGCTGGATGCACAAGAGCGCCGCCTGTCGGTAGGAAATATAATAGCACTTGTGACTTTGCACTAGGGGAATTCTATTTTTATTTTTGGTACCGGGGATCAAACTCAGGACCTTGTGCTGGGGAGGCAGGCAGCTGCACCACTGAGCCAAATCCCCAGCCCTGGGAAGAATTCTTTATTCAGATCCCACTAACAGTTTCCCCTTTAGAAATTTACCAGTTCCCATTGGATGGTTAAATCATTTCTTATCTAAAGACGAGTAAGGTTGTAGACAGTCTATCCCTTTAAAAAACAAAACAACCAACTACATGTGAAATGAAGGAGCTAATATTAAACTAACAAACTCCAGTAACTAACCCACTGTGGTAGCTCAGGTTATTAGAATATCTTGTAGCATCTAAAGTTTTAATTATGAACTACAAAGCTGGAACTGAATCTTCGGAAGGAGACTTGGCTGTTGGTATCATACACTGAGCTCTGGGCATGGGCCAACTCTGAGAGCACAGCCTGCACCTTTGTATGGCCGCCCCAGTTGCAAAGCAGCTTAGCCTTTGTCCCCTGGCCGCTGGGGGGGTGGAACCCTGCTGTACAGAGGGGAGTCACGGGGCGCTGCCCTCAGTCCTGGTGGGTGAGGACTAAGCAGCTGTGCCCAAGAATGCTCCGTGACTCTCGCAGCTGACCAGCTCACCAAGCTGAAGGGCAGGCTGTTAAGAGCTGCCTTTCCTGGGAAGCCAGCTGCCTGGGAGATCGCCCAGGGCAGGAGGCAGTGGCCAACAGCAGCCAACCAAGACACGTTGGCTTGTCTAAAGGGGGCAGAGGCATGGAGTAGCTGGGCAGCTGTGAGTCCTGCTCTGCCCAGCTGTGGGACCGGCGGCCCTAGCACTCTCCCAGCCAGGAGGGCCCAAGCCACACTGAGGGAGCCCCAATCCCCATGTGGACAGACAATGGTGGGAGTCTCGGAGAAGGAGTGAATCTACTGTGCAGGCGCCGCGGGGCCCTGTGCTCATGTTGGCTGCTGTGTCTGGAGCGTGTGTGCCACAGTGTTGTACTTCGCAGCCTTCTGGACCTTGGGGGACACCCTCTCCCCTCGCCTCAGGAACGGCCTCTCGAACAGCCCCCGCTCCTGGGTGTTCTTGGAAGGATTTGGGCTCCTCCATCCCCTCCCTGTCTTTTCCAGTAGCAGCTCTGAAGTGCTTCCAGGCATCCTGCATTTGTAGGTTTCTCGGTAATTGTAGGCAGTCTAAGGTGGGCGGGGGAGAAGCGGCAGGCCAGGGAGAGGAGGAGAAATGCCCATGCAGCGGCCGGGATGGCGGGCCAGCCTGTTGGGAGAGCAGGAAACACCAGAAGCTGCTCGCATGTTGGGGTCACCAGTAGCTGTGCAGAGAGACCAGTCACCAAACAAAGCGTTCAGCACCATAGCAGCCCTTAAGGCAGATGGAAGGGAAAAGTTCCAGAGAAGTCTGGCTGTAACTAGAGTGGCTCATCACAGTTCCAGGCAGCCGGCCGCTGTGCAGTGGGCTGGGCTTGGTGGCATCTAGGAGCTGTGCAGAGCTTGGGGAACATCCGTGAGGAGAGTGCAGTCAAGTCCAGCGGCCAGGGAGTGACCCAGGGGCCAGGATGGGAGGCTGCTTTTAAAGCACATCTGCAAATGTTTAGACACAAGTGGCCCTGAGGACACAAAGCCCACAAAAGACCCACAACTTTTTAAAATAACTGGGTCAGGAGGATGCACCTATCTGGCCAACAACTTATTTTCTTAATGTCAAGAGCAAGAATTGGTGTAGGGCCATAGTAACCCAATCAGACTTTACTAGATATAAAGCAGGCTTCCAATTTTAAAATCTAAGCATTAACCCAGGGACAATGTAGAGGTTAAATTTTGTATTTCTTTAGAAACAGACACGCGCGCGCACACATAGCGTCACCAAACAGCTTTGTCTTCTGAAGTTGGTTTCTGCCTCAGGAAAGTGTGTGTTGGTCGTCATTTCCGCTTCCCGTGTCTGACCTGCACTGAGCCTCCTGTTTTCCCCCACAGGTGTACTACAACGCAGACGACGAGCGAGAAGGGTAAGGCCCTCAGTTGTCGGGGAGCAGTCAGTCACAGCAGGGCCGGGGCCGGAAGTGTGCAGCTGCAGAAGTCCCGCTCAGCTCAGGCCCAGTGGAGAGTGGTCTCTGAGGGAGGCCGGGCAGCACCTTTCTCCTTCCAGGCCTCTCCCCGCTTTCTTCTTCCTATGCTGTGCCTCTGAGGAAGTGCTTATGTTTTAGGTGATCCATTTCTTCCATTCCACCAACGGTCTGTTACTGGAATTCTGGTGCAGGCCCTTGCTCCGGTTGTTTGGCCCCAACACAAGGTCGAGTTGAGCTTGAGGCAGAGCTGGAGGAGATAGCTTGCCCTGCCTCCTGTACCGCCCGGGACTGGCTCATCTCTCGAGCCCTCGCTCCCAGACGCCTGGATGGGCACTGGGAATCTGAGCCCCTGCTTGTGGTCCCTGGTATCTTAGCTAGGAGGCTGTCCCTGCAGGCCCCCACGGCAGACCCAGCAGTGACGGACAGGACACCTGACTGGGCTTCGGGACTTCAGGGGGCAGCCACATCCTGAGGGCTTTCTGTCCTGAACTCAGTTTACCAGTATAGAGCCGCAAAGGAGGCTCCAGGGTCGGAGCTGCCCGCCTCTTCCCAGTGGTGGTGACATCTGCGCCCTCGGGAGGTGCCGCTGGCGGTGGCTTGCTCTGTGCACTCTGGACGACTCCAGCTCTGGCAGAGTCCCATTGTCTGTGCGGCCGACAGCTACCTGCTCTTCACCTCTGCCCATCCACGCTCACTGCTCTATGGATCAGCCCTGCAACAGCACCCCCCAGCACACACACAGCTTTTACCTTGCAGCATCTTTGCTTCCCCCGGGGGATGCCACTAAGTTTGTTAGTATTCTCCTTAAAATTGGCTTTCTCCTTAAAATTCATGCGTCTGAGCCATATGAGTTGCAGCTTATATTGGGCTAATTTTCTCTTATGACCCGGGTGCTTATTTTTCTCCCCTTTCAATATTCACTTTTAATATATTTTACAGTCTTTGTTTGTATTTGATGTGTGGGCTGAGATGTGTAGGTCGTTTCCCCCACCCACGGTCAAACCCGGGCTTCCCTGTCCTGTGTAACTGGTGTTTTTACCTGCGAGACATTTCACGCTTGCTGAAGTGCATGGGTCAGATCTTGCAGAGTTAATGCCAGAGACAGGCTGGCGAAGGACAGCCTGGGGACCAGATCAGCCTCCCGTCTGCAGCTGAGATAGTGTGCACCTGGGAATGGTTTTCATACTTTTCAACAGCTGAAAACATTGAGAAGAATAATACTGCGTGGCATGTGAAAGTTTTATGAAACCCGAGCATCCATAAAGTTTGGAGCATAGTCACGTTGATTCCGCCACGCATTGTCTGTGATTGCTTCGGTGCTATTCCAGCAGGACTGAGTAGTTACAACTGGCTGTTTAGAAAACGTTGGCAACTTTCAGTTCCAAAGGAAGGGAATCTTAAGTGGGTCCGAAGACTTCCCAGCCTCTTTGGAAGGCGCAGAACCTTGTCTGGGACGTAACCTCAAACTTCAGACTTTTAAATCCTTACGAGATCGTTCTTCTATAGGCACATAGATAATACATTTGAGTGGCAGGGGTGCACAGGAATGATGGGCGCTATCAGTTCTACTCTGTTATGTACGCACTCTGTAGGACACCATGGTGTTGTGTTGTGGGGAGAACATTACTCTGAGCCAAACTCTACTCTTGGCTCTACTCTTGCCAATATGAAGCCTTTGGCCAGTGCCTTGATCTCAGGGCCTCGGTTTCCTTCATTTTCCACTGAGGCCTTGTTTGAGAACATGTCTGCTGTTCCACCTAGTTCTGATGTTCCCGTGTAGTTGTGTGAGTGACAAAAACTTACGGTAAACTCAGTATCAGGGGCAGAAGTGCCTTAGCTGGATGTGCAGACCCCACTGTAACCCTGCCTCATCCCAAACGTCCCTCCCTGTGGGCCAGCCGTGTAGACAGACACTGTTTCTCTGGGAGAATCTCCTTGTGTCGTCACACAGTCCTGAGCCCGAGGCCTGGGTCTGGTAACTCTCGCACATCTTCTGGGTCGGGTGTGATTGAGCTGTGGGCAGCATCGGAAGCTCCGCACGAAGACATGGCAGCTGCTCGGCCACTTTCCTGTAACCCTCACAGTGAGCACTCACTGGAAACCCAACGAGGTGCTCGCCCAGGGTCTCGTAGGGAGCAAAGCAAGTCAGAATGGCACAGCTGGCAGAATGAGAGAGGCAGTTACTGCCCAGCCACGCTTCCCAGGACCTGCTCTGAGCCCTTGCAGGTGTGCCAGCACGATCCTAATTCTTGATCTGTGGCTGTGACGGAAGCTTCAAGAAGCAGGTCCTCATCGGAAGAGCTCTCGCTCAGCCTTGCTGGAGGCACAGTGCCGTATCATCACTGGACAAGCCCAGATGTGTGTGCCTGGGGGACCCGAGGCTGCCATATGCATTCATGCAGCCCTGCTGAGGGGCCATCTTCACGGGCACCGCAGTCTTCCTGAGAGCTATGCAGGCTGGTCCTTCACCCGCCACGCTGGCCCAGGGCTTTCTGTGTGGCTTGCTAGAATTCTGTCCCATGCAGCCGAAGAGCTCCTCAAAGCCCTGGGGGAATATTCTCTACGCCTCCTTGCTCTCTACAGAGCCGATCTGAAGCCCTGGGTAACACTGCAGCCTCCCTGAGATGGCACAGCAGCAGACCGCTTTGCCTTTGAGCATCTGCCTTCACTGGGATCCATTGTCCTCTTGACGCAGTGGAGCCGGCAGGCGACTGGAGGAGGAGGTGGTCCCCAGTGCCCCCACTCACGTCTGAGCACCACCGAATGCTTGGCCCTGGAGGCTCTGCCCTCCACGACCTTCAGGAAGATCTTGAACATATTTTAGATGCATCTTCAAGTTGTTCTTGGTGGGAACATCGCTCTGCCACAGCCTATAGCATTTTAGTCAGAAGCAGAAATATCTGAACTACCTTTAAGAAGCATCCTTCTGGGCCTCCTGACCTCAGCATTTATGACTGCGTTTTGAGCTCATAACTACAATAAGAGTACATAAGTCTATCCTTTCTTCCTTTTTCCCTTCCTTCTTTTCACTGGCTTGTCCAGTGTCTTCTTAAACACCCCAAGCCAGCATTCGTTAAAGTCATTCTGGCCAACTTGCCCAAAGAGAAATGTGTTGAGAGTAAACGAGTGGAGATTCTGCTCCGTAGTAGGAAAGACTTCATGAGGACCTGGCTAAGGTGGCCTTCCCTGCTCTGCGCCTGACATGGGCAGGAGCCTCTACTGATGCAGGCCTCTTGGTGACTCGCTCACACAGGTGTGAGAAGGCAGAGTTGGGAGAAAAATGAGCTCTGTGTCCAGGGTGCCTGCAGCTGCTCCTTCCTAGGCACCCGGTACCTCCAGCAGCTCAGCTGGTGTGGCCACAGACCCATGCTTCCTGATATTTTCTGCCACCTTCCCAGTATTTTTGTGACAAAACTTAGCACGCCTTTGTTCATGCGTCCGGGTCACTTTCCCTGGAATGGATCCACAGCGCTGTTCCTGGTCATCCTGCACATCGGTCCGCACAGTGCCCCAGGAGGGAGCCTGATGCCAGGGGGAGCAGCTCTTCCTGGTTCTCTGGTCCTCTTTGCTGTAATGAAACTTAATTTGCCCAGCACCAGGAAGCCCAAGATGCGAGCCCTTTCCCCTCACAGATGGGCTTGTCCTGTCTGTCCTTCCTTTCTGGACTTGCATGGAAAATAATGAAACCATTGAATTCAGGGCACATCAAACGTACTGACTCCCACTGGGTTTCTAGATTTGAAGGTGTGGAAAAGCAAATCCAAGCTCCCATGAGCAGTGTGGCTTATCCGAGATGCCATTTTAGTGGCAAGGTCTGCCGTGGCTCAGAACAGGCGCTATCAAGTCAACAGGACTGGAGAAATGGAAATAAATCTTGCTTAGTGAAGAAAGAAAATCCCCAGGAGGGAAGCTCGCAGCAGGAGCGAGTGTGTGGTGACATCTCCGGCTCTTGACCGTCATCAACCTCATGGCCGCTGACCGCTCTCTGAATGGATTTTCTAATGCAGTCGTCTTGGGATCAAGGTCACTGCGCTCCTGGGACCTGACGGTGACAGGGCCTGCTGTTGTCACGGGGAGCGAGCGGGGGTGGGGGGAGTGAGACCCTCGGACTCTGCTGCCCGCGGCTGGCACCTGAGCGTGAGGCCGTGCTTCTGGCTGCCTCCCTCGCCGTCCCCGGGAAGAGCGCAGGCTCCTAACACGGTGCCTCCTACCCTCACTCGTCTTCCTGTTGGACTCACCGAGGAACTCGCAGTGCTGCCCTCAAAGGTGAGAGCACTGCAGATCCACTTCCCTTCTCCGCTGCTTTGCCCTGCACAGCCCCTCAGTATGCGGAGTCTTGGGTCCTCGCTGAGGTGGGTAAAGTCCGGTCCTTGCCTGGCTGGCTCATGGTGTCCGCGACACTTGAGTGACTGAGGAGAGGAAGTGTGCTTCACAGAATCTGAGGCCTTGTTAAGCAGCTCTGCTGCTTGGGTCCCCTTCTGGAAAAGCTGGAGATGAGGAGGTAAAGGAGAGCACCGTGGGTTTAATAGTTGGCCTCCCCTCGGTTGTATATGTGTGCTCTCCTCCCGCGAGCTTGGTGGGAGAAGCGATGAATCACTTCCGAGTGATGGCAATGCCGACAGGGACCGCAGGCTTCACGTTATCTGACAGCTGAGGACTGATCCGGTGTTGCCAGCCACGCAGGGTACTGAACGGTGCAAGTCCTCGGACCCGACCCCAGCGGGAGCAGGGCCTTGTGCTGTGTGACGCGGGAGGGGAGCCCAACCTGTTTCAAGCTGTCGCCCATCCAGTCTCCTCCTCAGATCTCTCCAACTCGTCCTCACCATGGCCGTCTTCATCAGCACCCAGGGATGCTGACAGAGTTACCAGGGAGTCTTCGAGTGCTGAACCTGCATGTGTCCCGCAGTGCTCAGGACAGCCTCCTTTCCAATTTGATTTAATTAAGTCAATTTTTAAGTTTTGATTTTGATTTGACATGTAATACTTGCCTTTGCTTCTCAAGTACAGTATGACGGCTTAATACATATATACATATATGTATATAATATGGAATTATCAAGTCAGGATAACTAGCATTTCCATCTCAAATGCTTCTACGTTAACAGACTTTTTAAGCAGGAGGAGTTTGAGGCCTGGGGAAGTTAAGATTTGTCCAGGTTCCCATGGCAGTGAATTGTAAAGCAGGGATTTGAACCAAGGTAGTGTGGTCCCAGAGTTTCTGCCTTCACCATTCTGCAGAACTTCCGGAAGAGAAAGAGTCCATGGAGAGCATGCTGTCTTCTGACTTCTGTCTTCTCAGTCCTCCTTCCCTTAGAGTGCCTGGAGTAGACCAGATCCAGGGGGAAATGCAGAGCCACCAGAACTGGCACTTGAGGTCATGCCCAGCCTCGGCAGATGGGTGTCAGTTAGTTGGGAAAGGCCAGGTCCCTGAGGAACTCCCAGGGCTGCAGTCTCACCTGCAGAGCCAGAGAGGGAAAGTAGCAGAAAGTCAGGGCAGCCGCAGCACCAAGTCCCATGGAGCTGGCTTGTGACCCTGCCGTGCCTAGGGAGCTGCACAGCCAGGCCTCAGCTGTATGTGAGGGCTGCAAAACCCCAGCACTCACTCCTGCTGCCCCCAGCCCAGATCTGACAGTAGAGGGGATGGGTGCAGGCTGCAGGGTAAAGCCCAGCCTCCCCTCAGCGATGCAGAGTAGATCTGGGGTTAGCACCCCAAGATAGCAGTGTGTATTCTGCCTCTGATAGGGATGCCCCGGGACCCACAAGGGGAAGGAGGAGGAGGTGGCGAGTGGAGCCAGTTGCGGAAAGAGACAAGGACCAACACATGCGAGACCTTGGGTTTGGACTCACCGTCTGCTTTGCTTAAAAGCCCCTGCTGTCTTTTCCAGCAGCAGTGTCCTTGTGAAGCGGATGTTCAGGCCCATGGAGGAGGAGTTTGGCCCGGCACCCGCTAAGCAGATGAAAGAAGAAGGCACAAAGCGAGGTACCTCCCAGCTTGGGGTACTCCCTGGCAGGGCTGCAGGGTGGGGGCATTTCACCAGGAAGAGCTCGAAGCACAGCCAGCCCTGGGCTCTGGGAGCCCTTGCCCCCGCGGTTTTTATTACACAGGAGGGTCACTGTCTTTCCAGCACTCCAAGTGAGGTTCTTTCCTGGAGGGCTCCATCCTCTGTTCTGGAGGGTTGGAAGGTGTGTGCTGAGAAACCCCTGCTTCACTGGTGACAGCGGCAGCTTGCAGGGCTGGGTGGGGAGCAGGGAGCGTGTGTCACTAAAGCCAGCGATGGATCGGATTCCAGGACATCGCTGCTTCCTCCTTGGATCGTCTTGTTCTGCTGCCCCACGATCGGAATCAAAGCCCGAGGCTGGCAGGGTCCCACCAGCCCCTGAACTGAACGTTTGTCCTCAATGGCCTTTCCCCTCTGCCCTGCTGCAGCCAGCCCAGAGGGCTTCACTGCCCCTGGTGACTCGCTCACCAGCTTAGATGTGGGCACGGCCTTTTCCTACCTGTTGTAATGGAGTTCGCGTCCCAGTCATGGGCACTGCTCATGGCCTGCCTCAGCCCTGGAGCCCTGGTCTGTAAAGTGGGGTGATGAGGGGACCTGCCTCAGAGCGCCACTGTGAAGCCCAAGGGATGCGTGTGGGGAGACAGCACAAAGAACGCACCACGAGTTCCCTGTTCATGACCCTGTACCTCAGGCTCGTGTGTGCGAGGGTTTCAGAAGGGAAGAGCATCAACGCATCAGTTACGCCAGCATCACGCAAACTCAGAAAACTTTCCTGACCTCACACCGCGAACATCACAACTCTGCCTTTAGTCAGGGCCTTTCCACCCTGCGCTTTAGTCAGGGCAGAATCCTGTGGAAATCTGGCTGCACACAATCAGAGCCCAGGGTTCAGCCAAAGACTTTTTTAGAGATTGCGAACCTGGCACAAAAAACCATCCCTAGAAATTATACTGGGTTGTAATTTAAAGTAAGTGCATGGCCTTGCTCGCTCTGAATCACAGTGACATACAAGGGCACTGTGACCTCTCAGTGGTAAGGGAAGGGACCTTGCTGGAGAGGACAGGAGCCCGAGTCCTAGTTTGGAGCACCCACCCCAGTAGGTGCTGGAAAGACAGTTGGGCTCGGCTGCCACCCTTCCTCTTTATCAGGTGGCCATTGTCCACGAGGGTGACCACATATCACACTGTCTTCAAGCCGGGCCATGCACTGATTGCCCTTGTAGCCACTTGTCAGTCAGGCCGTCCCATCTGGAGTCACGGGGCTGCCCCGTGGCCGCCGTCTCTGGCCCAGGGTCCAGTGTGAGGTGTGTGGTTCGTGCGGCCAGTGTAGAGCTGACAAAAGCCTGGAAGCACCCAGCAGGCCTGCCGAGTGTGGCGTCCCCAGCCCACGGGGGAGCCCAGCACTGTCCCGTCTGGTGGCTGAGCCCTCCCCTCCCCGTCAGATCACCCCAGCCCTTTCCAGTCACTCAGGAAGCCGGGGCCAGCATCACCGTCCACCACACTGGCTTGTGAGGGGAGCAGCAGCAGACGTGTCACGGCAGAGCGTGGGGCCTCCCGGGGCTGGCCTCCCTGACCGGAGCGCTGGGAATCGGCTCAGGATCTTCCCTGCACTAGACCTCAATCTTCCTCACGTGGATGGAGTTGAGGTTCTGTGTTCTGCTTATCTTTCCGTGTTCTGCTGACACTGAGTCCTCTCGCAATAACCGTTAGGTCACTAGATCATTTAGCTGAAATAGAGGCTAGAAAATATTCATCCCAAAGGACTAAATTTGGAAATTGTTGGAGACATTGTTTACTTAACAAATATTTTTATATCTGATAAGGAGAAAACAACCGTGCAGTACTTCAGTCTCCTTCCTCCCCTCTCTCCCTCCCTCCCTTCCGGTTTCCCGCTCAGCCCTAACTGAACCCTCCCTGGGCAGCGGAGGGCGCAGGCCCTGTGCTGGGTGAAGCCACTGGCTCAGCGCCGCCTTGAGGACTGGGGCTGTTGGCCGCCGCCTCTGCTCTGGGGACGGCCACTCCGCTCCTTCGGTGTCTGGCTGCTAGGCCAGGACCCTTTTTCCCAGAGTGGCCAGGTGCGTGGGCTTGGCCGGACGCTGTCCCTTCCTCTGAAGGCTACAAGTCCCACTTCTGGGGGCGCGCACAGGAAGTGCCGCCAGCCCCGGGCTGCGGGGCGGCTGCGGACAGCTGGAGCCTCTCTGGGCTCCTCCAGGGGTGCCGGCCCCCGTCTCTCATCCTGCCGGCCTCTCTCAGAGGCGCTGCGCTCTGCTTCCCAGCAGCTTCCAAGGGCCAGGCCTGTGTGGAGCTGCGGCGACTCTACCTGCTGCCCCACAGCGCCCTGCGAGGTGGTGCTTCCGGAGGAGGTGGGCGGAGGACAGGCTGGGCCGGGCGCCCTCACCCGACACCCGACGTCCTCCATCCTCCCTGGCCGGCGTCGCTGCACCCGTAACTCCGCTGTCCTCACCACCTCACTCTCACCCTGCGAGACCGGGCGCAGGGCGCCTCTGTGT